TGTATGTTTTTTGCCGGCGAGATCACTACACGCGCGCGCCCCGCACACAATCACTTACAGTAAGTCCTTGAAATAAATCATATATACATACAGCACTGGTTTGGACACACTTGGTAGCTATGCTTAGGTCTTGAAAGAATGAAAACAGTTAAACTGATAAAAGCATGGTTCTCGCTATTAGGATTCCCTTTCATTTCCATTTATTTCTTAAGTGGCTTTTTAATAAATGTGATTTCAGTGGTCAGTTCTCCACATACAACAAACCAAAAGAGCCGCCTTGAATTTCTGTTAGCTTTTTTTTTTTTTTTGAGTTCATTGTTTTTAAGTTCCGTGTTTGTTTTATGTGTGGGGGTGGGTAGGGGCATGGGCCCATGTGTGTGGGCACCTGTATAGGTAAGAAAAATGGATTGGATTAAACTGGAGTTACAGGCAGTTGTGAGCTGCTCAGGGTGGATGCTGAAGTCCAAACTTGTATCTTCTACAAGGTCAGTAAGTACTCTTAGCTGCTGAGCTACCTCTCCAGCCCTGGTTTTGGCTCTTTGAGACAAAGTCTTAGCATGTGGACCAAGCTACCCTGAGTTCCCCATCTTCCTGCCTCTACTTCTCAAATCCTGAGATTACAAGCTTGTGAAAGCTCGTTTAGCTAAGAAAAAAACTCTCAGCAACAAACTAATGATTTTAAATCATTCAGCTCTGGGAAATAATTCTGGCTAATATCCTGACATTTTTGAAGTGCGGTTTGATGATCCTCCATTCGTAGGCTCTAGAAATCACTGGCCATTGTCATTCTGCCCTCATTGCACCCAAATCCCTCTCTACTCCCTCTATCCTTTCCACCCATTAGGAGTATAATTCAGCCTTTTAAGTCTTCAAGATCTTTTACTGAGATATTTAAGCACATGCAAACACACACACACACACACACACACACACACACACACACTGTTTTTGTCAGGGTTTCTATTGCTGCAATAAAGCATGATGACTAAAATGCAAGTTGGAGAAGAAAGGGTTTATTTTATGCTTCCACATCACAGCTCATCATCAAAGAAAGTTAGGGCAAGAACTCAAGCAGTGCAGGAACCTGTAGACAGGAGCTGATCCAGAGGCCATGGAGGAGTGCTTACTAGCTTGCTCTTCATGTCTTGCTCAGCCTACTTTCTTACAGAACCCGGGACCACCAGCCCAAGAATGGTACTACTTATGGTGGGCTGGGCCACCCCCCATCAACCACTAATTAAGAAAATGAATGTTCTATAGGTTTACCTCAGCCTAGTATTAGAGAGGGTTTGTCATGGTTTGAATATGCTTGGCCCAGGAATCAGCACTATTCGAAAGTGTGGCATTGTTGGAGTAAGTGTGGCCTTGTTGGAGTGGGTGTGTCACTGTGAGCATAAGTTTAAAACCCTCACCCTAGCTGCCTGAAAGTCAGTATTCTAGCGGCCTTCAGATGAAGATATAGAACTCTCAGCTCCTCCTGTACCATGCCTGCATGAATGCTGCCGTGCTCCCGCCTTGACTATAATAGACTGAACCTCTGAACCTCTAAGCCAGCCCCAATTAAATGTTGTCCTTATAAGGGCTGTCTTGGTCATGGTATCTGTTCACAGCAGTAAAACCCCAACTAAGACAGAGGTTTTTTTAATTGATGCTTCCTTCCTCTCAACTTGTGTCAAATTGACGTAAAATTATCCAGCATCGTTCTATATTTTGTATTTTATGCTTTTACTTAAAATTATAATGTTTTGTTTTACTATATACCTCTTATTTTTAATATTCTTTTTATTTTTCAAGATTATAAAATAATCACATTATTTCCCCCTTTTCTTCCTCCCCTCCAATAGGGGTATAGGAAAGCCTATACCCCTTCTTGCTATCTTTCAAATTCATGGACTCTTTTTTATTAATTATTGTTACATACACATATGTATACACATATGTGTTCCTAAATCCACAAATACAGATGGCTCAATCTGTATGATGTTACTTGTATGTTTTTAGGGCTGGCTGTTGGGATTGGATAACCAATGGATGTGTTCTTCCCTGAAGAATACCATTTCTTTATCGGCTGAATGCAGTCTTCCCAGTTAATGGCTGTATTTAGACGTCTCCCAGTCACTCATCTGGATCGCCTTTAATTTTTTTCTACTATACACAAAGTCATTTATATCTTCCTGTATACGAGAGAGAGACTACGTTTATGACCATGAGCAATATTTAAAATTAAAGAACGTTTTTATTTACCGATCTTCATATAATAGCCTGAGAAGGTCCCTCGTTTCACGCTGCACCTTTTGCAGTCTTGCAAGCAGCCCCTTCCATTCGGTAAGGTGACTGTGTCCCACTTGCTGGAAGGCAGGAGGACATAATTAGATTTCACTGGATCTCTAGAGACATCCCGGAGAACATGAGTATTGTCTTTGGCAGTTGGGCATATATCCCACACGAATAATTTAGTGTTTATATGCCCAACTGCACCTTGCTTTGAGGTCAATACCTTCAACCTGTCTAATGCTAAACATCATCAAATGGTAAACAACTTCCAATCCATTTTCCTGGCGTGCAGTGAAAGTTCTAGTGAATAGAGACTGCCCTTGGAAGAGTAAGGGGTGTGGTTAGAATAAGTCCCCAAACTCCTAACTTTCACCCCTACCACTTTCCCTTTGTCCTTCAGGCTCCTAAAAGTGTGGTGTGAGGTCTTCTGACTGGGGCGGGACTCCATGTAGCCTAGCAACCGCTTCCCGCTCTCTGATTGGCCGATCGCTAGGCAGCCGCCATTTTCAAATCCCCGGATGATGGCGGTGTCCGCTCTCTGCTAGAAGGCAATTTGCTGCCTCGCAGAAGCTGGCGGGCACCGTGCCCGCCACGATCGGTCTCCTGGGCACTGGGCCACCGCCTCACCCCCCCCCCCTTGCGGACATGGAGCCAGAGCCGGCGGCTCAGAAGCAGCCCCGGCCGCGGAGGAGAAGCCGCAGGGCCTCAGTGCTCAGCGAGGAACAAGCCGCGGGGCTTCCGGCCGACACACCCGGGCCGGCGGCGAACGAGAGGTGAGAGTGGCCGGAGGTGGGTGGGGAGAGCCGGGGATGGAGTCTGGAGACTCAGGACGGGGATAAACGGGAGAGCGGGGGGGGGGGTGACCAAGGACTGGCAGTGGCGCAGGGGAGGTTGGGGAAGACCGTGCAGAAATGCCGCGGGAGGAGAGTGCGCTGGCCCTGCGGGATGCGCCGAGAGCTAGCCTTGAACCGAGGCCCCAAACAGCGGCTGCTCAGCCCTGCTTAGAAGGGGCGGATTCGTTGGACTTGTTGACAGTCTCCTTTAACCCCTTCCCTGGGTTAACCATACTTCTGCACCAGAGCTGTTCTCTACGAGAAACTAGTTGTGGATGCAGGCGCTCAGATCAAGACTGTCATGGACCCTGTGGTGAGAAGAGGAATTGTCACCTGAGCAGACACCAGCCCTTTCAGCCTAAAAGCAGCTGTTCAAATGAAATGGGTTTTTTTGCAGTCCCAAACAGGCCAGGCTCCCGGCGTGAAGAGATCAGAGAAAAACACTTTCTGGCTTTTCAGTTATTAGCACATTTTTCACATTCTGTGTTGTGTCTTTATTTCTGTGTGTCTGGAAAAGACGGACACTAGATTGATTTCTGAAATCTGTGTCTGGAGAGGCTGTGGAAGTCCCAATATTTTTATTAAATAGGAAGTTGAAATGGCGTTTGTCTGGATTACTCTGTCATTCTTTTGACGTTCAAAATATGAAAAATTATCTCAAAGTACTGAATATAGTGGTTTCCAATTATAATGTTAGACATTGAAGTTACAAAGTATGTAGCTTTGTTTGAGTTCTGTGTCTGCACAGTGTGTTTATGATAGTGTCTGCTTCATATAAGGCATTGTGAACTTCAGTATTTATGGGCCTATGCAGAGAACTCCACATAAATCTTGTCTGTCTGTTTTAAATCTGTAAAAATGACAGCCCTGTGTCTGCTCCATCTTTTCAGATGTCTCCATGGTACACTTGACATGATTTCAGTTTTTTTGGTTTTGTTTCTGAGATAAGTTCTCACTGTGTAACTTGGTCATCCCAGAACTCACTACGTAGAGATGCTGGCCACAAACTCACTGTACTTCTATACCAGAGCTGTTCTCCACGGAAACTGGTAGACTGTTGATGCTCAGACCAAAATCCGTGGAACTGTTGGTGAAGAGAGCAATTGTCACCAAGCACGCCCCCAAACCATTCTGCCTAAAAACTGGTCTTTCTTCCTTGGTTTTCCCCATTCTCGGATTGCAGTGTGAACCTCCACACACAGGTCATTTGAGATGATGTTAAATTAATCTTTTATATAACTTACAGTCCAGTCATGCCGAATGGTTTTTGAGGGATAAACAAACACCTTACTTTTTTTTATTAACGAGGCATGGGTAAAACCATTGTATTAAGTAACTCTATAAAGAGCTAGGTTCTTTCACTTGGTGCTGATTTTTATTAGTTTGAAGTTTAAGCCAATATTTACACAAATTCTTGCCTTCTGAAGCTTCCTCTCTTCCAGTCACACCCATGTGTTTAAGAAGTCAGAGTACAGAAAGAAGTCATCTTTGAGACTGAGAATTACAAGAATTAGGATGGACTAGTTAAGGAGCAGAAAGAGAGGACTTCTGGGAGATGAATGTAAGCAGTGCTTCATTCCACGCTCAGTCTGTAATACTGTTGTATCTGCCCTAGTATCAGACACTGTTGAGGATAATAGGGATTCTAGTGAACAAAAACATTTGGTGCTCTTGCTCTCAGGAAGCTTAAATTCTCTTGGGAGGAGTTGGTCACATCATGCAGTGAGTTTAAGCCTTTTTGATTCTATGCAGAAGAGGAAAGATTCTAGGACTCAGAGTTGGTAGATGACACCAGGGAAACAGTATCTTCCAGACATAAGAGCACTGATATACATCTAAACTCACAGAGACTGAAGGTATACACAAGACCTCAAACAGTTCGCACCAGACAAAACCCTAGCCCTACCTAGGGCAAAGAGGGGTGTGGAACTGTTTAAGGGGTGATTCCAATCTTCATTGTCAGGGTATCAGAAGCTCACTTCACATGAATCAGCAGTGGTAGCTGCTGGCAACCACCATTCACGAATCAACAAGGGCAGTTTGCTCCAGAGGAAACCATGAGGCTTTGCCAGTCACCAGTTGGCCCAAGTCCAAGGAAGCTGCAAGAAGCCACTGGAATATCATGAGAAGTTCTTTGGTGCATTTATCTCCACAAAGTCACGACAAGCAATGATTAGTGAAGAAGGCAAGACGAAACCATGCCAGAGTCATCCACTGTCTGTTGGATTATAACTTTCAGATCATCATGTGTCCTCTCAGGCATCCACTCCAGCAAAATATCAAGTGCCCTTTTTCCAGGCAGCTTCCAGAAAAACACCTTGTGTCTATTCTCAGCAAAACATCTCCTGTGTCTGCTTCAGCAAAAACATCCTCTTATAAGACAGTGTCCAGAAAAACATCAATGACACAATGAGTCTCCAAAGAAATGAGCACTTTCCACTTCATATAGGGGCCATTCTTATTCAGACTACCACACCAAGGATAGTTGGCCCACATAAAACAGACACCATGTTTTTGTCTGGTTGTTTGGTTGGTTGGTTGTTTTGATATGTGTATCCTGCACATATGAGTTTTAGTATTTTTTTGTCTTAATGTCTTGTTGTTGTTTTGATTTTCATTTTTTGTTGTTTTTCCTGTTTGTTTGATGTGGGGAGAAATCATGAGTTGGGTGGGTGTGGAGGTGGGAAAGACCTAGCAGGAGTTGGGAAAGAGAAAAGAATACGATCAAAGTATATTCTGTGAAAGAAAAATTCCCATTTCACTTAGTTTGTGTATGTATGTGTGGGGGGGGGGGATGTTGGGTATAGGTATGTGTGTGTTTCTTTCACCATGTAGAACCTAGAAATCAAACAGGATGGCAGATTACTGCCACAGATTACTGTTCTTTGGTGAAGCCTTTTTGATAGTCATCTTTTCTTTATTGTCTTTGCTGAAATACGTACTTCTGCTTTCTCTTTAACTTGGAAAAGCTTGTAATTTTTGCCACCTGTATCTGTAGTGTAATGTATGGTAAAGACAGATCATGCATGAGAGTCAGACTTATAAGTGAACCATGACTTGGCCAAGAGGCTAAATAATAACTTGTATAAAAATTAATGTAAAATAGCTAGAATTTTATTAGCAACTGTTTGCTTTAAATTTTTGTCCTGCTTTCTTAAATTGTTCTTTAAGATTTATTTTTAATAAAAATTTGTATTTTTGCTTGCATGTAGGTATATGCATTATGTGTGTGACTAGTGCCCATGAAGGCCAAAAACAGGGCATTAGAGCCCTAGAGTTAGAGTTAAGGTTGTTGTGAGCCACCACGTGGTGCTGGGAACCCAAGTCCTCCACAAGAGTAGGAAGTGGTCTTAACTGATATGCCGTCTCTCCAGCCCCACCCTGATATATTAGAATCAACAAGAAAAGGCCAGGTGCACACTTTATCTCCAGTCACAATGGTGATCACTTCATGGTCTCTTCTGGTTAGCCCACCAGTAGCATCCACAGGACGGCTCCTACCGAGTTATACTTGTACCTCCGCACTTAAAAAGCTCATCCTCCCTTTACCATCTGAACCTTTGCCAAAAGGCAAGTGATAACTACCTCCCTTGCTTCAGCAACCTCCAGACTATTTCTGCTTTCCTTTGGCTGTCATTTATCCACATTGGAAAACAAAAAATCTTTGTTCACATTCTATACATCTTCAGTGATTAACAGTATAGCTCATGGTTATCACCTATGTCATATTTCGATTTTTTTTTTACATATTTTGTCAGTGTTGATATATTTTTGTGACTATACAGGCCTATATGTTAGAAAAGTAAACACAGGTTCCTCTTGCTTTAACTCCAGTTTTTACAAATCAGAAGAAATTTAATGTAAATAACAGGATTTGGGTCTTATTGTATTAATGGCTTTTTACTTATTTTAAAATATTAGCCATAAGTTTTAAATTGTACCAAGTATAGTTATGAGTTCATTTGTTTTTTATTATTAATAAAATCATTATCAAGGCTGCTGTTATATATTAATAGATTTTATATGTTTGAGTTGTGTATATAAGATGAACTGTGTTTTTTAATAGTAATCTCTTCACTAATTTTATATAGTCTCTTTCAGTGTAAAGATTCTGGGGATGGCATATGCCGTGTTATATTTTGGTGCTATCAGGAAAGACATTGCTCTCTCCAACTGCTCACATTAGATTACTATTTTAACTAGTTTTGAGACTAAGACTGTAAAAAAATGATGGCTTCTCATCTGTCAAGGATCTTAATATTTTGAAATTACTCTCTTTATCTGACTCTTCTGTCCGTAGACAATCCCTTCGGAGAGGCAGTTCCTTCACATTTTTAACCCCTGGCCCACACTGGGACTTCACTTTGGTGAGTAGCTACCTGGGTTTTCATTTCCCAACTTTAGGATCCATTCCTGGGTTATCTTTCATTCTGCTGTACAGCTCAGTTGTGCTTCTGAATATCTCAGGAAGCAGACCCTCAAAAGCTGTATTTAGTTCTTTATTGCCAACAAGCTGAAAGAAAGTTTGATTTCAAGTAGATAAAATATTTTTCAAAGCACTTATATAAATTCACCTTTAACACTGAACTTTTTCATTCTTTTGAGTGTTATAAAGTAAGATATTACTTTATTGCCGGGCGGTGGTGGCACACGCCTTTAATCCCAGCACTTGGGAGGCAGAGGCAGGCGAATTTCTGAGTTCGAGGCCAGCCTGGTCTACCAAGTGAGTTCCAGGACAGCCAGAACTACACAGAGAAACCCTGTCTTGAAAAACCAAAAAAAAAAAAAAAGATATTACTTTATTATGTTCTTTAACAACTTTTCTTTTTGATTGATTGATTGATTGGTTGGTTGATTGATATTATGAGTACACTGTGGCTGTCTTCAGACACATCTGAAGAGGGCATCGGATCCCATTACAGATGGTTGTGAGCCATCATGTGGTTGCTGGGAATTGAACTCAGGACCTTTGGAAGTCAGTGCTCTTAACTGCTAAGCCATCTCTCCAACTCTCACAACTTTTTATACTATGTTAAAAATATATGTTTGATCACATTGTGTATACATATATACATGTGTGTATATATGTATGTACACACACACACATATATACTGAGTGAATAATTATCTACTGTTGGTTCTCTCAAGACAGAAACCATTTTTAGAGTAAGGAGTTTTGGGTTTTTTTTTTTAAGCTTTATTTCTTTTTATTTTATGTATATGGATGTTTTGCCTGTATATATGTCTGTCTGTGCACCATGTACATACATTGCCTGTGGAAGCCAGAATCCGCTGGAACTAGAGTTACATGTGGTTGTTAGTTGCCATGTGGATGCTGGGAATCGAACTTGTGTTTGGTAAGAGCCACCAGTGCTCTTAACCACTGAGCCATCTTTCCAAACCTAGGATAAGATTTTACAGAGGCATTTAATTTTCTGTGATATGATAAAGAAAATTGATTCTTTTTGTACTTAAAACTTAGTATACCACATATAAATAAATCATGATTTTTTTTATACTTTTCTTATTTAAGGAAAATAACAAAAAAATGATTCATTTTCTGTTTTGCCAAGTGTTATTTGTATGTCTGGATTTTAGATGGATTCAACAAAACATGATTAATCTATATTCTATTCTTCTGAATTTTATATTTCTGTTGGGCATTCCTATACTTTTTTTTTTACCCATTACATGTATCATTTATCCAATGTTCATAGAAAGTTCTATGATTTTAGCACAATTTGAACACTAATTTGAAATATTTTTATTGTGGAAATAGATCAAATGTAATAGAAATAAGTCCTTAAGAAGATGTGAGCAACATTTACGGGGAAATTCTGAAAGCACTGAAGAACATAGAGAACCTGGTTGAGTGGAGAGATACTCTCTCCATACAGGAAAAGACTGTCATTTAAAACGTCAGGTTCCTTCAGATTACTGCACATTTTGTGTGGCTTTAAAAGAGATCTGATTAGTTTCCTGGTCTCCGTTCTACAGTTCTCATGGAAGGAGAACCAGACCACAAGTGTATAGATTAGGAATCATGTAACTGCTGTTAGTGATTAAGGCATGGTATGAAATGGACACATGTTTGGTAAATATATCAAGAAACAATACTGAGAATCCAGAAAATGATCCCCTGCCTTCGTCCCTTTACTATAACAAGTACCTGAAAGGAGGAAACATAGTTTTGTCAGTTACCAGGGTTTCAGCCAGTCATTGGCAACTCCATCATTTCTGGGCCATATTGAACAGAAAGGCATGGAGGAGAAAGTCTTCTCATCTTGTGGTGGGTAGGAAACAGAGCAAGATAGGCAGCAGGGGCCAGACACAGTCTGTGTTTCCAGGGCACACTCCCACAGACCCACCTTGTCCAACTAGGCCCCTCCTTCCACAGTTGTTGTCTTTGAGGTTTTGAATCTATCAATGGAGTAGTCATTGATGAAGGTAGGACCCTCATGGTGTAGTCATGTCCCCCAGAAGTCCCCCTCTGAACACTGCTCGCATCAGGACCAAGCCTTCCATTCATGAGCAATTTTCAGACAACAGCTCATAACCAGACCACAACCCACACATTTGAGAATTAAAGGTGTGCACCACCACCATCCTGGTTAACATGACCTTCCAATCAATGAAGATTGCTTCAATCCTTTACATTGGTTTTGAAGTTTTTTCTCAGTACTGACTTACAGTGTTCATCCCTTACTATCTCGTCATCTCAGTGCCTTGTAAGTGCAGTTGAGAAGGCTGTGTTGCCGCTTCAGCTGCTTGAATGTTTCTTTCTGGTATGCCTTCATTCCCTAGTAGTGGGGTTTTGGTTTTTTTGTTTGTTTGTTTTTGTTTTTGTTTCTTTCTTGGAATGATTTTGAATGGGGGGGGTTGTTTATAATTTCACAATATATATTAATTTATTTTAATAATATATTTAATATATATTTATTCATTTTGTTTTATTTGTGTTTTGCTTGCACATGTGTATATGGTACCCATGGAGGTCAGAAGAGGTTGTTGGATTCACTGGAAGTCGAGTTATGGGTGGTTGTACGTCATTCTGTGGGTGCTGGGAATCAAACCTGGGTCTCTGCAAGAGAACAAGTGTTCTTAGCAGCTAAGCTGTATCTCTCCAGCTCCCAAGGGGTGATTTATGTAGGATTTAAACTTGAGATTTTTTTTCCCCACTTACATTACGTTTTATTTCTCCTTTGTGCAGGGTGGGTTAGATAGCTTTTGTACTTTCACAGAATTCCTCTCATTTTCATGATGACTTGCTTTGTCTGCTTTCTGGATCTATCATTCCCCCCTCCATCTATCAGGGTGTCTTTCTTTTCTCTTTTAACTGCTCTACTCAGTTCTAATTGCACACCAAGCCCTTCTCCTGGGGGTCAGGAACTAGAAAAGAGCCTTAGATGCTTACTTAGTCTTGGATATTTGCAAGAGGTACAATGTGTTAAGTTATTTTGAGGTGGGGAAAGAAAAAAATGGTACTTAAGGGTGTTTATTTAGTATTGATCAGGAACTGTGTACTAGGTTATGCTAGCACTGGCAGCAAGCAGAGCTGAGTGATTCCTCGGACTGTTCCAGGACATGGTGGGTCCTCTTACATTTGATAACTCCTGCTTTAGGCAATAAATCTGAGTTTAGGTTATGAGAAAAGGATTTACCCCTTAAAAAGACTTCCCTCACCCTTTGATAATCAATAAGTTCCTTTTTAGAAACTCGCCGCTTCTTCCTGTAACAGTTCAGATGGCTCATAACATAAATAAGAGTTATAGTCTGCAAATGCCACATGAGTAAGGTTTTTAATGATGTAGAATCACTTCTCCAAGAGAGCCCTCAGTCAGAGGGGACTATTTAGGCCAGCATATTCCAGAGACAATTTGTAAATCTCTCTATTCAATTTTTTTTTCTTTTGAAGTAATATTATCTTACTTTTGTGTGCGCCCACGTGTATACATAGAGATGATAAGGCATTGGATCCCCAGGAAATAGTGAGCTGCTGAAATAGGTGTTAGGACCAGAACCCCCACTGCCTCAGCTCCTCGGAGTGGTTTTTCCAGTTGGATCTCTGTTTGATGCAGTAAAATCATTTTATGTATGAGCCAAATCTTTTTTTTCTTACAGAAAAGAAAACGAAGAGATAAAGATGATGATGTTGTAAGCCTTAGCAGCCTTGATCTGAAGGTAAGCCCTGCTCCCGTGTTAAAGTACAAACAGCATTTTATTCCTATGCTGTGGGAACAATGAGTGTTGGGTTTGGGCAGGGGGGGAGGGGGGGAGAAGGTGTTCATTCCTTTTTTTTATTTAAGTACAAAACTGAACAGTATTGGCTACAGATTCCCTCTATGGTGGTTTGAATGATAATATCCCCCACAGGCTCATATATTTTCATGCTTAGTCCCCAGTTGATGAACAGTTTGGAAGTATTAGAAGGTGTGGCCTTGTTGGAGGTGTGTCACTGTGGGGTGAGCTTCGAAGTTCCAAAACCCCATACCAGTATGTGTGTATGTGTGTATCTGTCTATCTCTAAGATTGCCTTGGTCATGGTGTCTTTTCACAGCAATAGATCTGTAAAACACCCTCTTTTTATGGGTCTGCTTCCTGTTGAGAGTAAGAGGAAAACCATTCTCAAAATAGTGGTAGGCTGTGATAGTACAGAGCCAAAGCCATGATCTGTGCAAACAAAGAGGAGGCAGCAGCAGGGTTAGTCATTAGAGCACCGTGTCCTTCCAGACAACCAGGCTCTGTGCTCTGACCCATTTGTGTGTGCAAGACTCAGAGGAGTCGAAACTTGTGTGTGAAATCTCCCAAATGTTACATACCAGGTCAGTTGGTTTTTTGTTTTGTTTTGTTTTGTTTTGTTTTGTTTTGTTTTGTTTCCTTTAAAACAAAAACTAAGCAAGCCTACAAGTCAGCTGGCCTCAACCCTGTGGCATGCAGTAAAGCATTCACAGCTATATAAAATACTTACTTGGGTACTCTTCTATTAAAACTGTTAAGTCCAAAACCTAGTGTCCTTGGAATCAACCAGTTTTTATCAGTTGGTAAATGCTGGGCGTCATGGGATAATCGGTGACATGGGAACTGTGAACATCCTCTTTTGCAGGGTGAGGTTTCTTTTTCTCTGATCAAATTATTTTTTTTAAGTAGTCAGAACAGAAAACCCCTAGGTTAGACTATGATATTCTCAAAACTAGCTCTCTAGAAAACCATACTAAACATTCCAGCAGCTCCCTACTTTTGCTTTTCTGAGTGTAATCAATGTGTATTATTTGATGTCTGTCCTATTTCTGGGACCTGATTTATTTATTTATTGTTGTGTTCAGTATAGTAAGTAATCAGAAAAACACTTAATGGATGAATGTATCATGTAATAAAGGTCAGATGAATGAAATAAGATCAGGGTCCTTACGTAGATAGTGTGATCATTAGGTTATGTGTTTTGATTTTGGACATCTTGTATTTAGAATTTCATACTGATTGTAGTTGAATTTTCATATTAGAAATTGTTGCCTATTTTGTCGTATCACTGTGATTGTTTGTTACATGGTTCTTCAGGTAAAATCACACTTTCTATAGTGTATGTGTGCATGTGTTTGTTACTGAAGAGCCTTATTCTGTATCATATGTAAAATAGCTCATTTAAAGGGTACATATTGCTACTAGCTATCTTGCCTTTGTCTTTTGACATGAAGTCAAAAGTGGTCATTGATTTTGTTACTAAGAAAGGATATATAGAATGTGTATTTTTATACGTTTTTTAAGTTATTTATTTATTCTGTAATCTTTTTTTACAGTACAGTCTTCATCCCCATCCCATTCCACCCTCTGACTGTTCCTCATCCCATACTGATCCCTCCCAACCCGTCTCCCAGAGGATGTCCCCACCCCTCCACCACCTCCCCACCAGACCTCCCCACTCCCTGGGGCCTCAAGTCTCTAAAACGTTACGTGCATCTTCTCTCACTGAGGCCAGACCAGTCAGTCCTCGGCTGTATATGTGTCAGGGGCCTCATATCAGCTGGTGTATGCTACCTGGTTGGTGGCTCAGTGTCTGAGAGATCTCAGGGTCCAGGTCAGTTGAGACTTCTGGTCTTCCCATGGGGCCGCCATCCTCCTCAGCTTCTTCCAGCTTTTTCCCAATTCAACCACAGGGGTCCCTAGCTTCTGTCCATTGGCTGGGTTCTAGTATCTTCATTTGACTCTTCCAGCTGCTTGTTGGGTCTCTTGGAGGGCAGCCATGCTAGCTCCTGTCTGTAAACACACTACAGCATCAGTAACAGTGTCAGGCTCCAGGGCCTCCCCTTGACCTGGATCCCATTTTAGGCCTGTCACTGGACCTCCTATCCCTCAGGCTCTTCTCTGTTTTTTGTCCCTGCAGTTCTTTCAGACAGGAACAATTCTGGGTCAGAGTTTTTAACTATGGGATGACAACCCCATCCCACCACTTGATGTCCTGTCTTTCAACTGGAGGTGGGTTCTACACGTTCCTTCTCCCCACTGGCATTTCATGTAAGGTCCCTCCCTTTGAGTCCTGAGTGTCTCACCTCCCAGGTCTCTGGTACCTTCTAGAGGGTCCCCCACCTCCTACCTCCTGAGGTTGCCTGTTTCCATTCTTTCTGCTGGCCCCATGCAAGGGTTCTTTAAGTAGAATAGGTGATTTTAAAAAACCAGAGGGCTTCAAAACATATTTTTAACTGTAGACGTGTTTAGTTCTTTTTGTGCTGTTCACGTGTAGGGAACTCAGCTCTTTCAACAGTTTTAAAGTGTATCAGAGATTACATTCTAGTATTGGTATATGCTGCCATTTTTTGGATTAAGCATAATGAAATATTACACAAATGAAAAATTATTTTTAAGGCATTAGGATTATTTTTTTAAGGCATCAGGAATTTTCATTCCTGATGCCAAATAATGATTTGGCAGCTTTCGAGTTAACATTGTAAACACCTCTTTAAAGAAGTGACCTATTGGAGCTATGGTAAGTAATTTGGTAATATTCCTAGGCACACATATAAAAATTGAAGGTACTTGTATGTGGCTGGCATGAGAAAGCTAATGATTTAACCAGTCTCAGTTGGTACACGGCCTGTACATGCTGTCTGCCTTTTGACATAGCTGATCTTTCTCTACCTACTGTCTTGTAAAATATCAGATATTGTTTCCCTGCAACAAGTTCCAGGAAATAAAGCCAGTTGCTGGTGTTAGTGTTGAAAGTAAAGAAGATCTAGAGATAGATACAAGAAAATTGTGGTTCTTAGTCAGAAATCAAAAGCTAAGTCCAAGACTAATGTTCTAAGAAACCGTGATGTGCCCACGGGACATAAGCATAGGTTATCTTAGACTGCTAGGTGTGTGTTTATACTTTTTAAATTTTTATTGTGCCTTTTAATATACAGGATCATTTTTCTTACCTAAAAAACTTGAAAAGTAGCCAGCTATTTAATGTGTCACCAAGGCAATTTCTCTCTATATATGTACACTTGGCAATATATGAATCTCTTTGTACAATAGGATTACATAGGCTATCATAATCCACTAACCTTTCAGAGTAGCCAGTGCGTGTGTGTCTGTGTGTCTGTGTGTGTCTGTGAGTGTGTGTATGTGCGTGTTTGTGTGTATGTGTGTAGTATGTATATCTGTACTAAACATTCTGTGTCAGTTGACTTCTCTATGTCAGGAAGACCTGTGTTTAGTCAGGAGTATAGGTAATTGGAGCTTTAATTACAAAGTTAAAAGTTGAAAGTTTGCTAATTCTGTGCATTTACCTTCCAAAAACATTATAGCTTCATAGTTTGCTATGATAACAAGCACACACCTGCATTCTTTATTTACTGTATATTTTATGACTTTTTACATTTTTCCCAACTTTGGCATAGATATCCAAACAAAATTCAATAAAGAAGTCAAATAGTTAAACAGCACTTAAACCACTTAGATCTGATCCAGTGATTGCAGAATCCACATTTTCCTCAAATGCACAAAGAACATTTTTCAGGTACCCATGTACTAGACTGGAAAACAAGCCTTAATAAACTTTACAAGACTGAAATAACACAAACTGAGTTTTTTTTTTTCTGGTCTTAGTAAAATAAAACAAGAAAGCAATTAACAAGGGAAAAATAGAAAATCCATAAGTATATGAAAGAGTACACTATTTTTAAAACACAGCAATGCATTGAAGGGCAGATCGCTGGGGAAATGTAAAATGCTTGCAGGCACTTGAGAAGAGAAGCACAGCTGGCTGTACTTAGAAAGGCAGAGGCAGGAGGATCACAGATTTAAGCCAAACCCTAACTTCACTTTAAGGGTCTAGCAGAAGAAAAGCAGTTTCAATGTAAAGCTAAGAAAGGAAGGGAAGGCATGGAAAGATGGGCAAAGGAATGAACAGTGCTATGGAAAAGCCATGGAGAAAATCAATGAAACCAAAATTCACTGGAAATGTTCGATGGAACTGACAAACTTTTGTATAGCTTGAGCAAGGAAAAAGGAAGGCTCAAATGACAAAAATGATAAATATAAGAAAAGAATATTACTCCCAATTATAGAAAAGTAAAGCATTGTTAAAGTAGCAGCATGAGAAACTCCACCATTTGTTGAACCACCTAGATGAGTGACAGGTGCTTAGAGACATACCAGCCCACACAGCAGTGAGAAAAGCTGGATATGCCTTGACCAGCAAATGACCGACCCAAGGACCCTGAACAAGTCAGTTACACTGGTTAAATTATGCTCAATGTTTCAAGAATTACAATTACTAAATCCTCCAACTCTCCAGGAACAAAACAAGACAAAAAAAAAAAATCTGAAATCGAAAGGGACTGCTCCCTAATTCAGTCTGAAGCCAGAATCACCCTGATACCAAAGCTAAAGAAGGTATAAGAAAAACAATAAACCAGTATCTTATAAATATCATCCGTAACATCCCAACAAGAAGATGCTAACAGAGTGGATCCAGGAGCATAAACCCATACCTTACTGAGCAGTAGAAAGGATAACTAGATGACATATGCACACAGTAGAACATTATTCAAAATTAAAGATGAAGGCATTTACGACACATGCTACAGCGCAGGCAAACCTGGAAGACATTATCCTAAGGGAATAAGCTAATGGTCCTGCTTGCAGTGCTGCTCTGTGTCCAGTTTTAGCATCCTGCGTCACTGCATCAGACCTAGGACCTA